CTTCCTCAGCTCGCACTCTTCGAGAACGTCAATTCGCAGATTCCCCTACTTTCTAGAATCGCAAAGTAGGAACTCGGATTTGTTGAAACAAAATGGAACATCTGCAAAAGCTCACCAACAATAAACGTTCCAACGCCTGCTGTACATGTGATGGGAGTTTCACTCTTGGGCACACCATACTTCAAGTTCACCGTTCCATAAGGCATTCCTGTTTCTGCAATTCAGTCCTTTTCCTCTCATGCTACCACACTATATAACAACAAAAATTCTCGAAGTGAATAATTCAAGAAAAATTATCGACAGTGGAAAACAATATACTAAACGATGTCAGTGTTGAAGCATTGCGAAAAGCGAAGCGAAGAAAACCAGTTGAGAGGGGTCGCTGGAATGGGGGTGGGGGTGAGCGGCTAGCGTGACAAGTCTGCTCACTGCACTGTTCCACCAAGACGGTTAGCCCCTTTTCCGCTTTGAATACAAACCGTACACTAACCTACGGGAACGATCCGTCACATGCGTGGGTTGAATGAGTCCCAGTGACGAGCCACAGTTTTCCTGCCTGAAAAGCGCGGGAACGGAGGTGGAGGGTAGCGGTACTCGGATGCCGTCTCCATACTTCGCCCGCGTTATCCTCAATGTGGAGCATTACGCCAATACCAAGATTTCGCGGCGAATTACCACTCAGCGGTAGAAAAGGATCAGAAGTATGAGAGCGCCCACAGGTCGCGCGTCTGGTTAGTTGTCTGGTAGTATAGTTAGGCGTGTGGGCGACCGTGCGGCAGCGCAGGCGGTATGCAGACGGCATCTGGATATCACCACCTTCCAGCCCACAATTCCTTGCTTTTTTGAAAGCAGAAAATGACACGCTGTTGCAGCTGCAAACCCGCTCTCGTCATACATATCAAGGATCAGGAGCCATGGTAGTGAAGGAACAGTTTGTCTGGAGTTCTGACAACCAGAGTTAGAGCAATTTAGGGTTTTCGTTTGTCCACCTCCAACTTCGGTAGCCCCAGAACGATCAAGAAAACGCGTTGAGGTGAAAGAGAATGAAATTTTACGTTGGTTTCGCATGTGTCCTTATAGTTAGACAGATGCTGAAGGTTTTTATGCAGCATAGGACAGCTGCTCGTTTTATGAAATGTTTCGTGGATGACCTTTAGCCCATTACCTGTGTTGAAAGCTGGCAATAGTCGAGCAGCCATTGCTTCAGCTAGCCTCAATAGTGGACCTGAGCACGGCCATCCATCCTCCAGTACCATACCTGACATTTCACAGCAGGCGTCAAAAATCGCATCCAGCGGAAATTATCTATTGCACTAGCTCATGAGGAAACCTCACCTTCAACGCGACCGCTGAGCATGTGAGCAGAAACCAGACCACCAACGATACGTATATTTGTTTCAAAGACAGAAACATTCACATTGGCATCTGTTCTGACCTAAACTGGCCAGCAATGCGATTATACCCTCATCACTTCCTAGTGATATGGTTGCTTTTCTGCAACAAATGAGCTTTTCTCCTTCCAGAGTTGATTAAACAACTCACAGAGATCGTTACGAAAAGAAGCCAGTTAAGGTTGAAAAACTTAGTGAAACACTATATTTCTCACATTTTTCAATACAAGATCAACAGCTCGTCGAAATTCAGTCGTATTACCCATCACAATGAGAGTATCCAAAGCGTCGACCAGTGAAAGCGAGAATGATCCCCACGTGTCATGTCCTGAATAAGCAGTGCTTCGAAATACGTTGAGAGGACACTAAAATAGGAAAAAAGGCCAGGATTTACGCACCTGTACATGAAATTGGCTTGAGTTCATCCAGTGGAAAAGCATGATTCAGATATCCGTTGTATGCATGGTAAAACATAGCTCGCACTTTCTCACGGTACCTGAACTTCACACCAATGAGTAAGAGCGAAATTCCCCTTCTAAAATTTTATCAACATTCCTTTCGGACGAGTGTCAGGAAGCTAGAGCAAGCAGCCTGAAGAATTCAAATTCGTGTCCATTTACGGGTGTCACAACCTGCCCTGCGGATCATGCACACCAAACTTGTGGCACATCAGGAAAGAGTGGGTGCTGGCTCCAACGTATTCAATGCCAACAGTTTATTTTAGTGAATTTTCAAAGAATGTTCATTGAGGAGGCACAGGCACAATAGAAGAACTCTTTTGTATAGTGGAAGCTGGTTACAGAAAGCGACCCACAACCCCAGCGAACTTTCAGAACAACATTTCCCTCAGTACTGCGCAGTCAACCCCGATTTTGTGTCAGCTGCAACCCCATTTCGAGAGAAACTTTACCGTCAAAAGGGCTCTGAACCCCACAGGCACGTCTCGCATTCACGAACGTGGCTCAAATATTAGTAACAAAGTGGTAAGAAACAACGGTGAATAAGAAAGAGCAAAAAAACCTTTCGAAACGCCCTCAGCAGGACTTCATGCCAATCAGATTTTGTATGAGCATAAGGCGAAGAAAGGGTGTGCTTGGACGAATTCTCATCTACTGGCACGATAACGACATTAGCCCTTTATCGCCTCACTCTCATCATTTCTACTGAAACGAGTTAGTAACAGAACAACCACGCCACTGCGATTCTTCCAGAAATGAAAGTTGATCGACTCGCTACAGCCGCGAGCGCTTAGCATGCTAACCACGTATTTCTGAGCCGCGACAGTGTGGCCTCGATCAGCCTGCAGGCGAGATCGCCTTGTCCAAGGATGCAGTGGATGAACGAGGTACGTGTTCTTTATGCTTTGCATAGAAGTTCTGGTAGAATATTCCATGAGTGTTGGTAGCCACTTGCATGCCGTTCGCCCGCTCGCGGTTGCATCTTCTATCAGTTAGCTGGTTCAGGTAGGAAACAACCAGTAGTAGAAAAACGTTCGCGGCTGGGCTCATTCGCCTTAAGCCTAATATCACCGCCCCGTCGGGTAACCGCCATACTCAAATGAATTGAAACCGGCCGACTGCTGACAATTAGGGTACACAAACGTGTGCGTTAGCGAACGCTCGAAACAACAAAAATGCTGATGATAAGCGTAAAGAACTTCAGAATACAGTGCACTTCGCTGCGGACGGTTGGGCGTGTCAGGCGGGATGAGTTTGGCGCGGTGCCAAACCCGTTCTCCACCAGTTGTTAAAGCGAGCAAATGATATGACTGTATCATATCGTTCGTATTACTCGTTTTCTACTTTTTGTCTTCAACAAGAAGGCAGAGAACGGCTTTGACGGGGTGACACACTCATACTGCCTGGCACGCCCAACCGTCCGCAGCGAATTAAAGTGTAGACCATCCCACCTTGCTATCATCTCGTCGTTTATCTCCAGAGATGAACATGATGTAAGAACCAACAGCCATACTCCTTGATGAAACATGTAGAAAAACGCGCCGGAACGGCTGAACTTCATAAATAAAAAAGGCGTTGGGATTTGGAATAGCCGAATATTTGTTGCAACGAAATTAAGATACACTTGTTCAATCTACCGATGCGAAATATACCAAAAGAAGGGAGGATTTTTCAGAAAAAATGTTCAATCGCAAGCGATGTAAGACGAGTCCTTCATCGCCGAAGCCCTGAAGACAGCCCCTAGAGAAATGATAAAATGTGATGAAATGAATAGTAAGCCCCAGGTACTCTAAATGGCATTTTAAGGAGCAACATTAGAAATATCGGTGCGTTCAATCATGGAAAAAAATATTTCACCGCAGCACAGGACATACCAGACGAAAGCCTTACCATATTTTTATTTAAATCAATACTAAAAACAACGTGAGATCGTATCTGTTACAAAGATAAAACTATTACGTATAGATCAAGGAAGTGAGCAATCACCGAGGCGAAGAATAAACTTGAAAAAGAGGAAGACGAGCGAATCAAAACAGATGCAGATGCACAAACATAAAACAATGCTTTACGTTGGTGATCAAACAACAGCAATTTCAGTTTCTTTACGGTCTTACGAAGGTGAATCTATAAAATGATCTAAAGCAGAATGGGTATCCCGCAGTTCTCCGTACTTCTCGTAGATGAAAAATGAATGAACGTAAAACCGCTAATGCTAAAACAACAACCGGTTCAACTCCTCGTCTATGTGGTTACCAAGATGGATCCCCAAAACGACTCAAAGCAGTGTGGGCTTCCCGCAGATCACCTCGCACTTTTTCCCGCATGTAGAAGATAGGACAATCACGAGCTGCACAGGATACCTGGAATGTGTCACAATCACATTCGAGTTCTCGAAAACCACTGAAATTGTCTGAAAGCAACCATAATCCTAGGACGGTTCAGTTCAGCGACGGGGGGGGGGGCATTTTGTACTATCATTGCTTCCTTAGTTCCGGTTTACAAGTCTCACTCTGGCGAAACCTGTGAACTCTTGTGAAGCTGGAGCAAGGTCGTCAAGCCATCATGTTAAAACCTGTCAACTCGAGAAGAGGCTGTCTAGATAGGTCGACACGTCGATGGGAAGTAGCAAAGTGCAAAATGCCCCCCCCCCGTCGCCGAACTGAGCCTGCTAAAACATGATCCTCATTATACAGCTTACCTGCATTCACGACTCATTCTCACCACATTCAAGTCTACATAAAAAGACTTTATGACCACAAAATGCAGAAGCTTTTCGACTCTTTCCTGAGGAAAATGCAGTGGACAAACCTTATCATGCATGGTTTTAGCGCAGTTTTGACACTCTGTCCACAATCTTGAGAAATGTCGTTCAAGGACGTTCACATTGGCTATTCTGAAAAATCAGCATAGAACAATAAGAAATGGTGCAGATTACACTTCGTGGTGTACACTGGCAGTCATGGAGATCGCATGGGCGTAGCAAACTGCTATTGCGAGTAGGTACATTTTTGAGGGAGTGCATCGCTAGAGAACCTCCCTTCTTTTTTCGCTCTTCGCGTAACATTGATAATGATTATAAAGCAGCAACTGAGCAGTTACAAGTACCCGAATGTGACTGTAGACCCACTAAAAAGAAAACTTTAAGTTGAAGTGTATTACCTGCTAGCATATATCTCGGGTAATTTTCCTTTAGATATGCAAAAGTCACAAACAGCGCGAGTCTGATCTTTGAGCACTGCCTTGCATCTAAAAATATCACCAGTGTAAATAATCGTTTACATACGGCACATCTTTGAAGTGATAGACTAACCCCAAGCAAGTGACCATTTTCTTCGTGAAGGCAGCAAGACCACCAATTTTACTCTGAACCACTGTCCTGACCCTCGTGTGTTCGCCTTCGATTAGCGTCTAAAAAAAGCTTATTCTCAATGTGAACCATTTTTCGAACCCAAAATTCTATGTATTAGTTTGTCTGTTGGCCAGACAGGAAGGGCAAAATCAATCTATCCGCTTTTCACGGCATTCAGTGAAGAATCACAGTGGAGGGCATCAACGGAAGGCCGAATTCACATTCAAAAGAGCGGTGTAAGGCAGTATAGAATTGTATGAAGCCCACACATAGTAAGCAGCACTGCAGTCACAAATGGGGGGGTAGGCAGCATGCTAGAGCGGGCGCCTGCTCTCAAGAAGAGGAAGTGGCGTAACTACTGGGGAAATAACCATAACGCACTCCGAATAACCTAAAGATGGGAAAAACACGATAAGAGGACCAACGGTTTGATAATCCTGATCACAACAAACTGAAGCGTCACCCAAATGGTGGTCGAAATAAGAATGCCTGATTCAGCTCCAAAGCGACTGATAGCAGAAAGCGCGAAATGTTATGCCCAACAGAGAAAAACCCCGTTCTTTGTGCTAATCATCGACCAAAAACAAAAAATGGCTAGATGAAGGAAAAGCTTACTCGTTCGGCGCGATCACCCAAGATCGGCTCAAAAATCCTTGCAAGAGGCTTCGCCAACTGATTTGTCAGGTAGTGCTTCGTGTCAATTGGAATATTGTTTTTCAAGACGAACGCTGGATCCTCCGCTTTTTCGTATGCAGGGACGTTCTTCGCTGAGGCAACTATAACACGCCAAATTAGCTGAACAGATATTGTTAAGAAACTGTAAGCACTAGTAAATAAGATAATTTGCAGAAATGAGATATGGAAAATGAACGTACTTATTACATAAGGCACTCTGTCGCCTAGCCGAGGAGCAGATCCTGGGTCTCGCTTATGCATTCTGGCCGCTAACTCTACATGCGCTTGCTTGGCTTGATACTTCTGGAAAATTTCAAAGATTTTAGAAAAGAGCTACAACATTGCTGGAAACTGCTGTTCACTCTCAGCTTAAAGTGGTCCTCAACTGTATACAAAGACTCCCACGCTACAGTGGACGCAAAGACGAACTTTACACCCACCCCGAGAATGTTCCTTGCTATGTCCTTGGCGAATAGCTCCGAAGCTGTAGTAGCTGTAGTGGAATGCCATCTTCACCAAAAAGTGTATGCAAACGGGGGTGGAAGGTGATGCAACCCTATACAGTCTTCCGACTCCCGCTCGCGCTACCCTTAAGGCGCAGCACTCGCGCCTATACCAAGCTGCCGCAGCGAACACGTATGCAGAGGAAGAGAACAACCAGAAAAGATAGGGTGCAGACAAGCAGCGTGTTTGGTTATGGTAAGACGGCTTGCTGGTCGCGCGACAGGGAGGGCGCGGTACGGAGCAGGCACTTGGGTATCTACCCTACAGGCCAATTCCAGTGCACTTTTTATCGAAAACAGTGGCACACTACAGCAGCTACAGACCCTTTCACCCAGCACATGGCAAGGATCGGAAGCACGGATGTGAGCTGAAGCACAGTTTTTGGCCCCGGTATTAGGGACACTTACATCTCCAGATTTCGTCAATTCCTTGCTGATGATTAGGCGCAGCACTCGCGCCTATACCAAGCTGCCGCAGCGAACACGTATGCAGAGGAAGAGAACAACCAGAAAAGATAGGGTGCAGACGTGTTTGGTTATGGTAAGACGGCTTGCTGGTTGCCGACAGGGAGGACGCGGTACGGAGCAGCCACTGTGTACTTTTTATCGAAAACAGTGGCACACTACAGCAGCTACAGACCCTTTCACCCACCACATGGCAAGGATCGGAAGCACGGATGTGAGCTGAAGCACAGTTTTTGGCTCCGGTATTAGGGACACTTACATCTCCAGATTTCGTCAATTCCTTGCTGATGATTAGGAGCGAGATGTCAATCTTGTTACAGAGAAGATCTGATATGACCCGTTTCGCAAATTCCAGCGCTGATGTTGCATCTCGTGCAATTAGGAGCTTCTCTAGACACGTGTTTAGTACCTTCGCCACTAAGGGGCAGTTGTCTCGTCGCACCGTTTCGAGTCCCTAAAACTGCGAAATTTCAAAAATCCACTGATTACCGGAAAGAAAACAGATTTTCTTATGAGGTTTTAGAATAAATAATCTATTACGCTAGGAAACAGTTAGGAATAAACAATGAACACTGCAAAACTTGCTTTACAATCCATTTTATCATGTTTGTCCGGTTTCGTGAAATACAGGCCGGCATATCTCTTTTTGTTGATGAGCAGGTATGGGAAGTAAACCTAGAAAAGTACGTCTGAGCAGTAGAATGAGCATAACACTCTACAGTTAACTCACTTTTTCAAACTCCAGCTTGATCGGCGGGGTGAATATTTTGCTTACTTCCGTGGCTGCATGCAAACCTATTTCCATAGCTTCAGCTACGGTTTTTACTCCAAATTTAACCATCACGGAATCCGTGTCTCCATAAATTACCTTCAACATTTGTTATAAACACGTTAGTAGCCACGGACACAAGTTACATGAAAGAATCAGAGAGAAAACTAACTTGGGCGTTAGCAGGACACTTCCCATTCATAGCTCCGGCTTTGTACCGTTTTTCAACTTCACTTTTCGTCAAGTCAATCATTTGTCTTCCAAAAGCCGTCACTGACTGGGAAATTTCCAAACAAGGTAGCTTCCCCACAACAGCACCAGTGAAACCATAAACCGAGTTGGCGGAAATCTGAAAAGAAAAGTATATCACGACAACAACCCACAAAAGCTATTCCACTGTCTCATTAGAAGAATATGGACTATACAATGAGCGACTTATCAAGCCTCACAGGATCTCCATTCCGCGCCGCGCTTCAAGGACGGTCCCCATGCTCAACCCTTTCCACGCCCTTTCGTTCCTAAGTAGTCTAGTCCCTAATCTCTGAGACTGCCCTCCTTTCACAGCTTCACAGTAGTAGCGAAAGTGTGTGGCCCTCATGAATGGCAGCTCCTACGCCTCCTTAGTTTTACCTGCCATCAAAACTAAAGGCTATTTTTCGCCAAGAGATCTGTTTTCACACCACTTTTTTTCACGGTTCAAATTGTCTGGAAACCAAAGTGGTGGTCATGGTTTATTGAGAGACGGGATGGAATCTGTGGTGAATGTTGGTGGATTCGAAATTTGGATCGCACAGTGGTAGAATGCTATCTGAATCCAGCCGTGCCTCTCAAATCAGGCGAGGTCATGCTTGGCTATCTAGTAGAACACCTAAGGGTCACAATCACATGTGTAGATGATATCTATGGGTTACACGTATAACCAGGTGCTCATAAAAGATGTACCTGAATGATATGAGTAACCCATAGATATCATCTGGGCAAGTTTTGGTGTCATCCAGAGCAAGGTGGTATCAGCATTTTATTTGCCAACGGACGTGTTTTGGCGAGAGACGGGATATCTCTTTGACTATAGACCCGCAGATCTCATACAATGGGGCTGACAGGATCTTTAGAATGCTTAAAAGTTTTTAGCTGCTTTTTTTCTTCCTTGGAGTCACTTAGGGACTACCGGTAATTAAACCCCACTGTTCACAATATTATCGCGAAGTTTATCCATAATTCCATCCGCAAATCTAACTAACCTTCAATGCAAGTTGACGACCATTGAGAACCATCTTGCGGAACTCATCCTTTTCGTGCTTCATCTCATTTTTTGCTCGTTTTCTGAACTTACTCAACTACAATAAAGGCAAAGGATTATGGGTAACCACGCTCACCGTGCAGCCAACAAATCTTCTAAAACGACAGGAAGAAGTCCACGCCGACGCTCTTTTGTAGCGAAGAAGTTTCCAGAAGGTGTTTTAATATAGTCCTGAGAGCATACAAATCTTATTTTATATTGTAATATTGTATTATATTTACAAACATATTCTACACTATAAAAAAGTGCGATGAATCTGTACTTTCACTATAGAGCCTATTTTTTTCCTGCAGTATTACTCGCCGCAGATAATGGGGCGTGTGCGTGAGCCTAGTTTTGGCGCGCAGCCAGTTCGTTCTCCAGTAGTTGCTAAGGCAGATAAACAACAACCATTAATGGAAATCCGCTATACGAACGACATGATACTGTCTTGCCGCTTGCCTGCTTCAACAACTGCTGGGAAGAAGGTGCCGCGTCAAACCCATCCAGCTTGACATGCCCTACCATCTGTAGCGAAAAAGACTAAGACGCTCTTTCGAGCAACATCATGAAACAAACATGAGCAACAGCATGTAAAGCTTGGCTCATAGCAAGCAGACGTTATTGTACATGAATCGTGCCGATATTCCAAAAGTTCTTGACTCAGAATCTACGCGTACAGATTCTCACCTTTCCTTCCACGCCCTCTGGTTTCTTTAAAAGCGTTGTATAGCACAGATTGTGAGCAATCATTATCGATGGATACAGCGAAGCAAAATCCAGAGTTGCGATTGGTTCGTTGTAGAAACCACGCAGAGGCTCGATAACTGTCGCACCCTCATACCTGAGAAGGCTATCATCAATTTCCGAAAGAATCTTTGATCACTCCGACAAACGTGAGCTTACCCCTCCGAATCTCCTCCTTGGACCTCAATGACAGGTAAGAAAAAGTGGTTCGCCTTGCATTTGCGGAGCATCATTGATAATATCTGGAGGAAAAGGTCAGTGAAAGCAGTAGGAGCAACGAGCATCAAACACAAGTGCTCATCAGTCCTCCTTTTATCACAGTCAAGATGTATAGATAATATGTTAGAGTAACTCCCCAACCCCCCCCCTCCCCCCTAAAAAATGAAAGGAGTGAGAGCAGCTCTATATCATTTTGAAAGCAGAAGACCCGATTGCTGGAGGCGGGTGGTCGCTGCCAGCGTCACTGGTGGAAGGGAGTTAGCCACAACCCCATAAAACTTTGGGCACTACGGCCGAACGCCCTTCTTCAGTCCTACCACCGATGGCAACGACGCCCGCCTCAGACTATCCTGAGCTGCCCTGAGCGCCTTGTTGATACTAAGCACTTTTATTCGTGAGAATCACCTTGATTTGTTGCCCTCGTGTGAGAAGGTAGTTTAGTGGGACACCAGTTACTCTTGCCATCTCCATATAGTTGATCACTGACAAAAGTTTATCCAGTAGGCGCAACGGCAGAGCAGCATCTTTCATACAGTACACGGCGAGCCTTAATATTCTCCTTCTAATGGCATCAGAGAAGACGGAAATGCGTGAAAAAAACCTTCGACGAGTATGCTCATCTCCTCGCTGCAGATCTGGGATGATGCTATGCTCAACGGCCTCCTTTTGCTCGGACAAAAAGTGGTAAGAAACGCTGTTGAGCGTGTAACTGCGCAGTTTATAATCACGCAGGACCACCTGAAACAGTTACTGTTTGTGGTTGAGGGTTATCCCAGTCAAGCAGCTGGCACAAAGTTCGTCCAGAAGATCCAGTGGAATGTATTCTTGAACTCGACAATCAAGCTGTAGAGAAATTCCGTCTCTGAACGGGAAATTCCGTAATCACACACCTGCAGGACATCGAAAATAACTCGGCCGTGAATATCTATGCTCTTATTGACCCGACTTCCCATCTGTTTTGATGAAATCGGTGCATCGCGTACACCGGAAGCGCGGTTTTTCTGACGGCCCAGCATAGCTACCGTAGGGAGTTTGAGCACCTAAATACAGTTTGAACTTGCTGTGAACTCGATTTATTCATAAAACCACGTACCTTCGCTCGATCCAAAATGTATGGGAGATCAAAATTTAGAATATTGTATCCGGTAAGTATATCTGGATCGACTTCACGTACAAACTCGGACCACCTGTAGTTCTATTTTTCATTTTCAAGTTCTCAGTACGCGCTTATCTCAAACACAATCATGCTCTCATAAGCTCTCTGTAGAGAAGTCGCTGTGAATCCCTCTTCGTGGTTTTAGCACGCAGTAACGGTAAAAATCTTACATGGTGCATCATCCCAAACCGACAATGGGCATCAACATGTCTCAGAAACAGCGACGGCCTCGTTCTATTTAGGATTGTACCGGGAAGTTGCACGAAGCGTTTGGGGCTTTCTTTTAAACGATCGCAATTTCTTAATACTCATCGTATATTTAATCGAAATAGGCACCATTCGAATCAGCACACTTTTGCTAATGTGACAACAGTCGAGAAATCCCATCAAAGAAAAGAAAAAAGTGGATGGTCGAGAATCCACAAAATCTACGAAGGTGCCTGGTCCTAATTGATGAAGTATTTTTCAGCAAGGAAGTTCTGAAAATGTTTGAAAAGGTGATAGTCGGTTGGTGAAAGGTCTGGAGAATATGGTGGGTGTGGTGGAACTTCAACCCCCAATTCGTTCAATTAATAGATAGTGATACGTGAAACGTGTGGGCGGCGTTGTCATGCAAAAGAATCGGACCCTTTCTTTTGATAAGTGTGGCTGCATCTGACAAAATTTTCGGTACAATTCGTCGATTTCTTCACAGTAGGGTTCTGCTGTGATGGTTTGGCCTGGTGATAAAAAGTTATAGTGGATCACACCAGCCGATGACCACCAAATGACCAGAATCTTTCGTGAGGGCTTCGGCAATACCTCGGTGGTTCGTCGAAATCCACATGTCCACCAAACGGGAACGTCTCCATGTTACCAACATGACCCATTTTTCATCACAGGTGACAATTCGGTCCAAACAGGTCGTTTCTGCTGCGCAAAAGCAATGCAGAAGGAACCTCGAGACGTGCCGATTCGCCGGTCACTCCGAATGTGGGGCACCCCAATTGTCGAGTTTTTTCACCTTCCCAATGCGTTCCAGGCCATCTGCAACAGTGGATTTGCCAAGCCTAGCTCTTCTGCTATCTCTCGAACTGTTTGGGATGGGTCAGCCTCCAAAATCCCCCAAAGTCCTCGTCAGATATTGCTTTAGGTCGACCGCTATGAGGTTCCTTCAAGGCTGAAATCTCCAGAACGAAATTTGTTGAGCCATTGCCGCACAGTGCTTTCTCTAGCACTATTGGGCCCCCACACCTGGTTAATTTGTTGAGCTGTTTCGATTGCGGATTGCCCCAATTTATAGTCGAAGAAAAAATCGTCCGAAGTGCTCTTTTCACATGCTTGAAAAAATCTTGAAAAAAGGGGGTTTATCAAGCAATGGTGAAACGGCAATTATACCATCAGATAGCGCAAGAAATTCTCTACAGGATGTGCTACTGAGAAGCAAGGCAGTTTTTAATCAGCAGTGAATGTACAAAAAATAGGTGCACAAAACGCTGAGAACTTCCCGGACAACCTAATACATATTTGGAAGGCCCAATTTGGAAGTATACCCATCTTCTTTCAAGCTAGCCCCGGCAATCTCAAAAAAGAAAACGGTGAATCACAAGATATCAAATTTCAAAAGTTAAGAAAAGTGAACTCTCTGAAATTGAATTTCAAAAGTGAATTTAAACTGAGAGCCGTTGTGGATATGTCCGTACGTTGCCAGAAGGGGCGGGAGTAGCCCAGGGAATAGCCCACCTCCGGCTGCCTTTTTCTATCAATAGATCGGTCTATGATCGATTTAGGAAGAAAATGATGAGTGTGGAAAACTCCGCAATTGGGTTCATTCCTTTCCCCCCTGAAATCGCCACAGCTGTGCTCGACGATACCTGCTGCAGAAAGATTCGAACTGCCTTCTGAAGTCCAATATGCGAACACATTTCAAAAGAAGTGGGGTAGGTAGGAACGAAACAGGAGTTGGCAGTGAAGCGTTCAATTTTGGCATTCCTCAGACATGTTCATGCCAAATGAAGAGCTTTCCGCCAAACGTATAACTCTTGTGTTTCTGTGGGATACCCTAATCTTTCGAACCACCTCGAGCCACTAACAATACAGTCAGCATCCTTAAATCCACTTTTTCCCCAAATTCGTTCTTAAACACACTTACACAATTATCGCAAAAATGTGTAAAACCTCTGGTAAGGGGAACGGGCACGCATGGAAAGAGAGGCTGTGCATATAGCAAAAAGACACGGACATAAAAAGTATGAACAAACCTCAGGTCAGTCTTGGTGGTGTAACTATCCAAACGTCTATGAATAAACAAAAAAAATCTTACGCCAAAACTAACTTTTCCAATAACTCCGCTTCGTTCGGATTGGGCTTAATAATATCACGAACTATAACTGGATCACAAGTGCCCAATACAAAGCAGTGCGAATAAACGGCTCCGACTCCCCAACCTAAAAAGCTGATAGTCGTAAAGAAATAAACAATGAAACGTGACTCACGTGGTCCACTCACGACGGATGGCGAAGTCCCTCTTTACAAGCTTTCATTTACTTGTTTTAGAAGATTCTAAAAAGCTCCGCTGCGGATGCTGGAAAGTATCGAAAGAGGGGCTGGGTTTGGTGGGCATCAGCCCATTTTCCCCAGTTACTATCGCTAGACCTCCCGCTCAACAGCTGGTGAAGAACAGGCCAGCGCCGCGTCAAGCCCTGGCATCCACAACCAAAAATACTATAACCGCTCGCAGTCGTATCGCATATGCTCCCGAATCGCGCATTTTCCACATTCGCCAAGTATGAATGCAGCCCAAGGAATAACTTTTCTCACACGTCAGTACTACATTGCCCGCAAAGTTTGACCACTAACAACTTGCATAGGATACACAGTTGATGAAATTGCTCGGTTCATTTGAAACCTGCACTCCAGAATCGATTTCCCTGGGTCCTCATCTAAAGCTCCGTGAGGAATGTGGAAACACACAAATCATTTCGAAAAGCAATTTTCAAATAATTTGTGGGTTTTAGACCTCGAATGGTGAACAGGGTTTAGAGTCATAGCAATGACGAAAACCACCAGCGGCGCACCGTTGCTTGACTGCCCGCCTTACAAAAGCGGGTATCAACCACGGGATAGAAGATAAATTATAAAGGAACGACAGCTCACCTTCACCATGTTAGCGATTTGAATGACTGGGTCTTCACTCGCATTGGGAAATATTCCACGACGTCCCATACATTCTATATCGAACGACATAGTGCTACAAGACAACAGTCAGAAGTAAGGTAAACTTTTGTAATACCCAAAATGGTGTACCGTATGGGAGCAACACTGCCCCATTCACCTTCCGGATCATGAACTACCAAATCTTGAAGTTTCACTTCCACTTCTAGTTGGCATCTATATAAAAAAGATTGCATTTACATAGCAACAATATCAGAAGAGAACCATAACGCTGCGTTCATACTTTGCATAAGCGCTCGCCGGCGACTGAGAAAGTATTGATACCGATCTAGCAAACGCAAGCATACAGCAGCGTTTTCGCAGCTTTTACTCATACTCACCTTTTTTTTCTCGCTAGATTGAATACTACGCTTTCCTAGTCGCGCGCTAGCACACACTCGAAACGCTTCCGTACGCTGACGCAAAGTACGAACACACCCTGAGCGACAACTTAGAAACCTGGAGCTTTGAACTTTTTTGTTCACGATTTTCCCTTTGCCAACAGGAATTTCTACCCATCCACAGCCCACAATACCACTGTGAGCCATAAATTTTACTTCAGCATCTATGTTTGCCTCAAACAGCGTGCCTACCTGGAAAGGAGGAAAAATTCAAAACGTCCTGAAAGGCAATAACAAGTCTGCCTAAGGACAACTTCACCTCGACAGGACCTGAACCGAACGATATGCCACCAGTTTTCAACTCTTGCTTTGCCTTGTTCAAAGCAAGAATAGTGCCAGAAACTTTGATGAAAGGATACTTTTTCTCGGAACCTGGAAATTAATGGATAATACCAAAGAAAAAAAACCAAATTACATGGTAATTCCTATGATAGAAAAAATTGGGGACATATAAAAAGTACCTCGGTAATAGTATATGTTTTCACCATTGACGATACTCAGGTGTACTAAGTTGTCAACAATAACAGAAGATAACTGAAGATTTGAGTTAGCTCGTCGCATCGAAGTTGCTATTGCATTATTCAGATTCCTCTGAGCAACATCCAAGTGTTCAGCAGCGAAACGCTCAGGGGCCTGAACTTGGAAACTATGATTCCAAAAAACGAGGAATTCCTATCAACAGACTGTAGTAGCTCACTTGAAAATAGAAATGGGGAAAATAATCAGTGACGAGTTCCCTTTGTGAGTAACACCGTAGAGTTTCACGTTTGTCCTATCGAACCTTGTAGCTGAGCCCGGCTCGTGATATGTCTCGATATCGAATACCTAGACATTAGACAGTTATGGTAGACAATGTGCAAACACAGAAGAATAAAGTTGACTGTGAGGCCGTAAAGTAGATCACACGAAAGAAGTAAAAGATGATGGCGGGAAGTCATCATCTGGCCGGGCTGTAAGCGTCTTTATAGTTTACGTGCATGGGCCATTGCTGTAATATTTCACCCTATATTTATTTCCTTTTTCGTGATTTCTCCAAAAGACGGCATGGGCAACGACGAGGAAGTGACAAGTGAACCGCTTGTCACGCACACGGTCCCAAAGCCAGATCGTCATAGGCCACGTTCACACTAGACAGCTGCAAAATCGCCGAATCGTAACAACTAATAAAAAGCAGAGTATACGCTCAGATTGGAGAAGTCGAGCGATGACAGAGCGTTCAGTCAGCGTCTTTGAGTGCCTATCTCTGCCAGGATTTCGGGCGTTTCGGGTGACTAGGAAAGTATAGGTACCTACCGACTGTTTGCTGGCGGAAGCTCAAACCGTAGGTGGAAACTCAAAACGCTGAATCGATACATATACTTTTCTATTCGCTCACACTGGTTACGCTCTCAGAAAATTGAAAGTCCTCGAAAAGCAGCAAACCTATATCGGCTGACTTGCGATTCGCTAGTTCTTCACACCGATACGTATGCCCTTTTGACATTTCGATTCTCCAATTATTCAACTCCGCGATTCCCTGATTTCCCAGCGTCACAAGGTACGAAGGCGTTAAAGAAAGTTAGGTTCTCATAGCATACACGTTCTCAATTGAATAGGATGAATGGTAGAATTAAGGAAACACCATAAATTTTTTGTGGTTTAGGAATGGAAAAAACAAAACAACCATACGCTACCTGGAAAGCGATAGACGTAACAGTGCCCAGACCATCTTCCAGTTCACTCCTTCCCGTTGACGAAATGCTGTCTGCTTCAGATGTCTGGGATAACTGTTCGAGATGTGCTTCAAATACACCCTAAACATGAGGAAATGTACTTTGGAAATATGACAAGGCATTCGGCTATTGAGCGTTGAGATAAATATTGCACTGGAAAAGTCTTAGAAGAAAAGTTTCACAAAACGCACAACTATGGAACTCTATTAAACACACGAAAAGCAAGATATAATTTCGATAACATCAACTACCTTTGTGACCGGTTCTTCATCTCTTTTTCGCCTCTTCGCTGCAGAATCAGGAGCCAAGGCACTGGGTCGTTTCTTATGAGGTGACATGTCGAGCGTACACCTTGTTCTACTTTCCCAAGCACCTAAAGTTATAGCGGCAGTTATGAAGTTAGAGGGAGATCAACGATCTTCAGCGGTCAAGGAATACAATTATTCAATGCACCGAAGAAAGAGTCGTAAAGATACTCGCAGTAAAATGAGGACCACATTCCAATTTTCCCGCCCAAAGATTTCGTGCTCCGTCGCCAATTCATACCAGACCATGACGGGTCAACTAGCATATGGCATGCAGATAATTGGAATCCGTTTGAATGTCGAGTACGAACTGCTCCTGCTTTCCTCTTCGAAAGGGGTAGGGAGTAGATATTCAAAACTTTGATTCATGAAATGATTTATGAAAGCACATGTTTCTCGCGTCCGCTCTAGGTATCGCGCTTCAACTCACAACGTTATATACCATTTTCACTTTAAATCGGACACTTTTCAAACCAAATCGGACACTTTTCAAATCAAATCGGACACACCCCTTACAATTAGGTGGTTGATAACTAGACCACACTAGGTACTGTTGCAAGCCCCGCCCCATTATCCCCGCCCATTTCTCAGCAGACAGGGTTTTCCGAGATGCTTCATGAAATCTGCTCCCTCGACTTTTTCGTTTTTGCCCTTTGCACACACACTTCAACTGAAAAAGATTGATACCTATACAGATCTGACTCCGCCCACTTAACAATGAAGTTACGTGTTCTGAATTTTTATAACTTTTTTCGACGTAGTTCTTTTCACATCGATTGGCTCCGCCCACCAATGGAAGCTCCGCCCACTTTGGGGAAGCCCCGCCCACTTTTCGAAAATGATGCAAATCGGCGGGCTAGTGTCCGTACTGGCGGATTACGGCCTCTCCCGTCGCTCAGAACAAAGTTTCCATTTTTTTCCGGTTTTTCCCTTTTTTTATTCTATGTGCCGGGAGAGGCCGTAATGCGCCAGTACGGACACTAGCCCGCCGATTTGCATCATTTTTGAAAAGTGGGCGGGGCTTCCCCAAAGTGGGCGGAGCTTCCATTGGTGGGCGGAGCCAATCGCTAAAGCCTAAAAAAGCGAAAATCCGGAAGAAAAAGCAAAATTCCGCGATAAACACAAGTGGGCGGGGTCAGAGGGGCGGCGCAATTCCGCGATAAACACAAGTGGGCGGGGTCAGAGGGGCGGGGCCTGGTGTGCTGTGCATGGTTATTCGTTTTGTGAAGATTGGATGTGAAAAGAACTACGTCGAAAAAAGTTATAAAAATTCAGAACTTACTTGTTAAGTGGGCGGAGTAAGATTTGTAACTTCATTGTTAAGTGGGCGGAGTCAGATCTGTATAGGTATCAATCTTTTTCAGTTGAAGTGTGTGTGCAAAGGGCAAAAACGAAAAAAAGTCGAAGGAGCAGATTTCATGAAGCATCTCGGAAAACCCTGTCCGCGCTGAGAAGTGGGCGGGGATAATGGGGCAGGCTTGCAACAGTACCTAGTGTGGTCTAGTTTCAACCACCTAATTGTAAGGGGTGTGTCCGATTTGATTTGAAAAGTGTCCGATTTGGTTTGAAAAGTGTCCGATTTGGTTTTGAAAAGTGTCCGATTTGATTTGAAAAGTGTCCGATTTGGTTTGAAAAGTGTCCGATTTGATTTGAAAAGTGTCCGATTTGGTTTGAAAAGTGTCCGATTTGGTTTGAAAAGTGTCCGATTTGGTTTGAAAAGTGTCCGATTTGGTTTGAAAAGTGTCCGATTTAAAGTGAAAATGGTATATTTCATCGCTGTGCGAGATGGTTAACATGCTTCCCCCGGAAGTGCTTGAAGCAGTTACAAGTGTTTCGTTCAAAAGAAGGCTAAGCAAGGTAAACCTTTGTCATCTTCTCAATCTCTCCTCCTGACATCGTGTTTTTTCCTTTTCAGTGACGTCCTTCCCTTCCTGTTCATCTGCAGTGCACCACCGGTGATTGTGTTCTCTGTTCGCCATATAACACGCAGCCAAAACTTCAACGTTTGACTTTTACCGGATGGCACGGGAGGCCTGTGCCTAGATATCGCATCATATCCCAGGACTGTTCTTCTGACATTATTGGTTTTTTTTTCGTTTGTTCCACCACTGCTATGAGACCTCCTTCTTTGGCCGCATGGTTTGTCATGAGTAGGGTTCATCCGGTTATCTGTGTCTAAACGCTACCCTCCTCAAGATTATGCCTTCTATGAAACGTCGGCTTTGGTCCAGGCTCAAGGTCTAGTAGATCTGTCTCGTCGCTTCTGACGCGACCCGTGTGTCGCATCTTCACGGTGGGCTGCTGTCTACCCGCCTCGCTCGCTCGAGAAGCTCCCGGCATACGCCCTACTGACCCCATGTGGCGGCCAAGGGCACTGCAGCCGACCGGTGCGGCACACTTGCTTCATCACGGCTTACTAGTAACCCCGATGCTGAGGAAAGCCTGTTATAGATATACCAACTCGGCGCCAGTTCGTTCTCTGGGCGGTTTAGAGCCACCCCTCGGTCCGAACTGGTTGACTTTTCCTGTCGTCTGCTTGTTTCTCCTCTGGGAATGCTCCGTCCCCTAACAAATTGAGCGCTGACTCAATGTCTGTCCTGCCGCAATAGCTCAGTTTGATTTGTTATTCTACGCGCTTCTTGTAATATTCTTTTTTTAATTTTTTTTCTTAGTTTGTTGCGATTTAGTCTACATTGCCACAGATTGTTTAGACTTGGCGCGTATCTTATGCTAGCACCATAAGTAAGATAAATAAATATAAATGTTTAGGTGGTTTGCCCAGGAGAGCTGAGCCGTCTACTTAAGGAATTTAGGTGGTTTGCCGGAACATGAGCCGTCTATTAAGAAAAGAAGCGAGAATGGAGCCAAAGCATGCCAGTGCCCTCAGTGCAAAGACAGGCGCCATCGTAATCCTGGGTAGGGTAGTACAGGAGCGCCACCGCTGTCGTTGTCTGGAATCACAACGGGGTCCGTTATTTTCACCGTGAAGGAAGGGGTCAGCGTGAGGCTTATTCAGTAGAGGGAACAGCAGCAAGTGAGATGTTGTACAGCACTATTAATAGGAGATTTATTCATGGTTCTTGATGTGAAGAACACCTGAAGAGGCATCAGATGATCAGGGGAAGGTGCCAGCTTAAAAATGGGGACGGTATTGGCAAGAAATACGTTAGGGCCCGCGACGATGTCATAAATTGAAGGCAGAGCCCATGAAACCTATATGTAATTATCTGAGCTTTTTGTAGAGAGAAGTAGTGTGGACTTCATTGAATAACCCTGTATGGGTTTCATATAAGAAAGTGGTAAGATAACTGCTGGTAATCTTGCTCGTTTGCAATGCGTCTCAACGCTCAGGGTACAGCATCGTTGTGCGAAACCCATAGGGGGGTCGTACTTGGCCGCTGGGGGGGGGGGGTCGTAATCTCAAGGGTCACTCAGAGCCGAGCAATGCTTCGACATTTCAGTTGATATTATGAGTGTATTCTTTACAGCTTCGAATGCTACGTTCAACAGCCCTCTTTTCATGGGAAATCCCCAAGAATGGGTTCGTACTTGGCCGCGGGACGTGGGGAGTATCGCAAAGTAGGCTCGCTAGGCATCAAACAGTACAAAGGTGTCATTGCTAAGGGTAATGGAACGGACGGAAAGCTTCAGAAGACCCGGATGTAAATAGGAATACAAAATAATAAAAGATTTATTAGCAATATAGCAAGAATAAATAAATAAATAAATAAGTGTCAGTTTATAGCATGAACTCGTGTACGTACGTTGAATAATAAATAATCGGTCTCAGAAAACGATCGTGGCGTGTTGTCCTTGTTACAACCCCAAACACACTCTGCTTGCATGTTAAAGGATAAAAGCACCTGAAATTAGAATTTACACCTTTCCACCACCTCTCTCCGTAGGAGCCTAATGCACGGCGCACGGACCACCGATTAGTGATAGCCGAGCTCCTCTTCCACTCATTTGAAGGGAAATATGTATTTTGGAGGCACACTGAAAGGTGTATCCTCACAATGGCACATAAGGAGTCAATTTTTCGGGTGGTCCAGGGGGTAGCGCAAGGGTAACCCATCTAAAATATCTCCTGAACTAGTGGGTCTTCAGAAAAAACGGGCGTGAGCTTGTTGGAAAGAGAAAGGATAGGAGGGGTTTCAGGACGTTTTTAATCCTGATGAAATTGCGTTTGAACGAAGCAATCCTCGCGTGAAGCATGGAAACCAGCTCGCGATTTACCCCTAGCCTATCCAAAACCCATCCGGAATATTTCACCAACGGGGATTGTTCAGTTTGCAACTAGGTAGATAACGTAGTAAGAAACTTTGCCGGTTGCTGATACTGCAGCACGGATCTCAGAAGTCCGCACCTTAAAAAGATATAACCCCCCGAACAGACCCAGGACGTTGGCAAGTCCAACAACCGCGCTCCAATGACGTTTTTTCCAAAGAAAGCGGTCGCAGCCTTGCGCCCTGCAGCCTGATCGATAATAGCCAAGTATGGAACGATTTACTGCCGGCCTGGTTATCCTTTTTTCATTTAGCTCTGCATTTTTTGTATTTTCCATGTTTCGCTTTGTTGTGTCGTGCATGTTTTCATTATTTCCCCGTCACCATTCATTGAATGCACATCTGGGCCGCTACACGCGCTCACCTTGGGGCTATTTTTTTCACCAATTCAGCCTATCAATGATCACCATTAGCCGCTATTTCAATTGTGTTTCTTTTACAAGTTGCATGTCATACATAGTTATCGAACGAGGAGTTTTATTTTGAATCCTAAGACAAAATTGTAGGTAATGCGAGGCTGTTGTTCAGCCTCATATTGCATGAGGCTGAAACAGCCTTTTATTTCCTGTATTTTAGAGCAGAGTGCGCCTTTCGAGAATCCAGATTCCATTTCAGGAAGTCATTTGTGGTGAACATGCATCTGGTTGTCAGTTAGAGCAGGAGGGGGGGGGGTCGTGTCTGGACCCTCTTCGAGGGGGGGGGGGGTCCGTACTCACACGCGCATTTGAAAATCCCCATGCTGGTTAC